CAACAACCCTGTGAGGGAGGTTAAACTGAGAGAGAGTGCAGCTCACATTCATGAGTCCATTTTTCCTTGGTCCAAATCTCAGACCCCAGTCAGGACTTTTCCAACTAACGCTGGTGTCCAGAGGTGTTGGACTACAACTCTCATCACCCCAACCAACACAGGAAGACTTACTGGGGATGGTGGAAGTTGTAGTCCCACAGACATAGAGGACATCAGATCAGGGAAACCTGTTTTAGCCGCTATAGCCGCTATACCACTCATAATAATAATAATAATAATAATAATATTTATTTATATCCCGCTTAATGACAATCAATCCAAGCGGCTCATCCAGACACTAACTTCTTTGAAATGAAAATCATCTGCACTATATTGAAGACAGTTTCATTATTTGGACTTAGAAACAGCCTGCTACCAAAAGAAACAGAAGAGAAAACCCAGGGGAGAAAACCACTGTTTTAGAGAACGAAATCAGAAAACAAACATCATTGTAATGTAACCAAGGAGAATACATTTGCTGGGAAAATCAGTTAACGCAAATGGGATGTCTTTGAAAATGTACAATTATCCAAAGCAAGGCCAGCTATCCTGAATCCACACTGATTTATGTATTACTTCATCCCAGTAATTAATATATTATTGAAAATGCCAACGCAACAGATTTATTTCTCTAATCAGAACCACTGTCTGAAAAATCTATAGTTCCATTTCATGAGCCTCAGAAAACAGATGGCTGACATGAACTGAAATGAGCTTTTCAACCTGCATGATTCCTTCATCCGCAAATTATTTTTGTGTCAATGAAACCAATTTTGCAAGTGCATTTGGGGTTCCTTTTTGTTGGCTGAGTAAAGATATCTTGCTGTTGTGTGCTTTCGAGTCATTTCAGAGGGGTTTTGTCGTGGTCTTCCTCTGAGGCTGAGAGAGTGTGACTTGCCCAAAGGTCACCCAGTAGGTTTCCATGGCTGAGGGAGGATTCAAACCCTGGTCTCAAGAATGCTCAAGCCACTACACTACACTGGCTCTCTGAGGAAAGGTATCAGCAATATATATTTTGGATTTTGAACCTTTTCCCCTGAGATTATGAGTCTGTGTTTGAAAATACCCATCCTATGCCTTCACTTGCAAACAGCATCAGAGAAGCTGTGCATATGTGTTTGGACTCCCTTTCCAATCATCCACTGCCGGTATGATTTGGAATGATGGGTGTTGCAGTCCAAAACATGAGAGGGGAAATCACATGAAGGAATGGGAGGCAACTGAATAGTAAGAAGAGTCCAAGGCTATAGAAGATGTACAATAGAAGACTGCACTCTTGAACAGCAAAAACAGCCCTCCTCCCTGATATTCTGCTTTCTGCAATGTTTGAAAACGCTCTTCCATTATCCAAAGAATATTGCTTGATTACTAATCTTGTCAAATGCTGGCGTCTCATTAATGTTACAATAGATTAATCCTGGATCTAAGATCTCCAGCTGTGCGAATTGGCTGTCACAATATCATTTGTAAAACTATGCTCTAAAAAATACTCCGCTCAGCATTCCAAAAGGGAAAACATTTCATAAATATTTCATAGTTCCATTTTAAGGCCCTAGAAAAAGAGATGGGGGAAGGCATTTAAATCATTCTACTTTCCCTCAAATAACAGTTATCCGTGACTCTGCCAGCCTCCCTGCTTTTTCCTACTTACCTCTGGTATGAGCGTCCCCATATTGTTAGTGTTAAGGCGGAAACGAACATCTTTTGGAATCTGAAACAAAACACACACTTTTTTTTTAATGGGCTGCAGAAATCAACTTTTTGGAATATAACTCCCAGAATTGCCCATGTTGACACAGGGATTCTGGGAGTCACAGTCCAAAAAGGTAACATTTCCAAGCAATGTACTAAGCTGAGATCCTATGCTAACAAGCTGTAATTTTATGCTCGCCGAGTTATGCGGTATTTGCATGCCACCTGGTTAGTAAACTATTACATTCTGCAATCCAACATTCATGCACATCTGCATGTGCAATTATCCACCTGTGCACAATGAAGATTGTGCATCCATGGGCAATGCACATGCACACTTATACACAACACACTTATACACACTTATTCATATAACCATCTGCAATGGCATCACATGTGGATCTTGGCTTCTGCAATCTTGCAATCTTGAACTGAATTTCCTACTCCATGTGATTAAAAATCTCCATAAAATAAAGGAGCCACTAAAAGAAAGATCTTAACAACCAAAATGGGTCACCCAACAGAAAAGGTTGTTTTACACTATTGTTTATTTTGAGGTAGACTTCCTTATAAAAGGAAATCAGAGATATATAACAGGTTAAAATTACAGAAAGCGGAGGGGAACGGAAAACAAGCACTGTATGCATTACAAAGTAATAATGATATAGAAGTAATTATTTACTTGGATAGATAACTAGATTTAAGAGAGGCAGTGCAATAGTTAAAAAGAGGAGTCAGATATCACAAATAGGAAATCTACACACTAGAACCTAAAAAATGGAAGTGATATTTTAAAATATTTTGCAACGGAAAATGAAAACTGTTGATGGAAAAGTCTATTTATGTATGCTTTTCTTTTTCTTTTTTTAATGAAAATTACCAATAAAGATTTTTTTTTTTAAAGAGAGATAAAAATCATAGACTCTTAGAGTGGGAAGGGACACCAAGGGCCATCTAATCCAACCCCGTACCTTGCAGGAGTACATAACTAAAGCATTCCTGAGAAATGGCCATCCAATTTCTGTTTAAAGACCTTCTAAGACAGAGACTCTACTTCCCTCTGAGACCGTCTTTTCCACTGTCAAACAGCCCTTATGGTCAATATGGTTCTTCCTAATTTTTAGTGGAGTCGCTTTTCTTGAAATCTGAATTCATTGTCTTGTGTTCTAGTCTCTGGAGCAGCAAACAAGCTTGCTCAAACTTTTTCATGACATTCCCATAGATATTTAAAGATCGCTATCACGTCATCTCTCAGTCTTCTCTTCTTGCAGCTAAACTTCCATAAGGGAACTTATGCATGCATATGGCACAAATAGATTTCGGGCATTTTGTAGCATTTTTAAAGATTTGAAAGGTTTCGCAAACATTATCTAAATGTAGAATTCATAGACATAGGTGTGTTGGAAAATCAAGACACATAAGAGATCTTGTAGCACCTTTCATACTAACTGAAGGAAAGACGTTGGTTGCATGAGCTTTCAAAAACTTGAGCCTACTTCCAATGTTTGGAGTAGATGTAGTCTCAAGCTACAAAAGCTCATACTACCAACGTCTTTCTCTCAGTTAGTCTCAGAGGTGCTACAAGATCCCTAAGCATACTGTTTAAATGTAATCCTTACAACCCTGCAAGGCAGGGATGGGAATCATGTGGCCCTGCAGATGTGCTTGGATTGCAGCTCCCAGGAGGTAGCAGAGCCAACGGTGAGGAATGTTGGTAGTTGCAATCCAACAATATCTGGAGGGATGAATGTTTCCAACCCATGTTGTAAGGTGAAGTCGGTATCTCCCATATGGCAGACGGGAGTCACTGAGGCTGAGAGAGAGAGCATCTGGTCCAAAGGAACTCTGTGTTCAGTTCTGGGCTCCACAATTCCAGAAGGATGTAGACAAGCTGGAGCACATCCAGAGGAGAGCAACCAAAATGGTGAAAGGTCTGGAAACTACCAAGTCCTATGAGGAG